CAACTACCAGACAAAGTTTGTTTTCTCAGGCATTTTGCTGACGCAAGTCCAAGATCAAAACATTTCTGGTTCAGAGGACAGATGTATCGGTCTCCAAAATATGCAACTAAAATCCAGCCATGCCATCCCCCTGGGATGCCTGGGACACTCTTACCAATACACATCGATTTATTACTGCTTGGTAGCACAGGCTCTTTTGGAAGAATAAAATATTCTGGTTGCCTGAATGGGTCGAGAAGGAATTCTGGAAATTCTCTTTTACCAAAATAGGACAAAGTTTATTCTCTCCTGAAACTGCTTTTTAAAAGTAATATTAAAATAAATTAAGTAAGAGCAGACACTCGGATGTTAAGTGCATTCCCCAGCCCCATTCCCTCTGTAACCAGCACCTGAGTCTTCTGGCCTGAGAACTGAGACACAGGGAGATTCTGATCATTGAATTTCTAATYATAAACTCATTAAAATAATAGTTTTACAGTTACCTCAAGCCCAGCCATTCCTCAGGAAATAATCAAATGGACCTGTAGGATGGTAACACAGAGTGTTTCTCAAYACAGGAGAGAGGACACCCAAACCCAGTGCTTTGGGACTCCCTCAGCACAGCCTGGCTGGGACCTCATGGCCAATTCATCCCTCCCAAAACCAACCAGGAGCTCTCAAAGCCCAAAAGCCCAACCCTGGCCTGGGGCCACTGCACAGCCAAGGGAAGAGTCACAGCTCCCAAGGCGAGGGATGACTCACTATTGACGGGGCTGATGACAACATTCAAGACCACAAAATCAGCTCCTCAGCCCCCTGGAGAAMACTGGATTAAAAACCAGGGAGACGCATTGTGCATCGCCAGGCACGTGTTCTTCCCGATGCCACACACATTCCCGCTGCTGTTTGGCAACAGAAATGGCCCAGATTTATGTTCAGTGGAAGGAATAAAATTACAACTGGAGACCTCGGAACCAGAAGTCCAGTTCTYCCTCCTCCTCCCTTTCCCCACCAAGCGCCAGCAATGTCTCAACACCCCAACTGCCTTTCCAAGGAAGTAGCTCCTTTCATGGCCAAATTACCRTGGCAAGAAAATCTCCATTTAGGTTCATCTCCAACAGAAAAACATTCAGGCAGCAAACGTTTCCTTCCCATAACCTGAAAACAGCCAAATATAATCAGATTTCTTTCCTGCCATCAAAGAAACCCTGTCCTGAGACAACCCATAACAATTATAAAAACATTTCCCCATAAAGCAAATGTGCTCCCAAGTACTGACAGAAATATTTAGTGCACCCCACAAAGTTGGCAGTGTCTGAACACATTTCAACCCCAAGAASGCTGGCGAACACAACAAATGCTTTCATTCGTAATGATTTATTTTATTCCTGCCTTCACTGTATCAGGATGCATGTCTCTTACTCATCCTGCCAATATTGCCTTCCTGCAGAATTTAAATAAAATAACCTCCACTGTAGCTGTTGTCAAGCCATGTCATGACCACTGAGGCTTCATAAATAACACTTGATATAAATAGATTTTCCAGCAACATATAAACCATCAGTTCCAATGCAAGTAGAAGGGTTGAGTGCAGTCATCTGCCTTTTCTTCTATAAGGATAAACACATAAGTGAGTGTTTGGGACTGAAATAAATCTACTGAAGAAATGGCCCTACAGAAATTTCTGGGGCTTGAGGTTTCTTACATGCTTCACACAAAGACATTMACAGGAGCAGCCACAGAAGAACAAGATCTTCGCAGTAAGAAATTCCTCCCTGTGAGGGTGGTGAGGCCCTGGCASAGGGTGCCCAGAGAAACTGTGTCTGCTCCATCCCTGGAAGTGTCCAAGGTCACACTGGACGGGACTTGGAGCAACTTGGGACAGTGGAAGGTGTCCCTGCCCACGGCAGAGAGTAGGACTAGGTGGGCTTCAGGTCCCTTCCAACCCAAATCATTCCAGGATTCTATCACCTTCCAAATGCCATCTTGCACAGAACRTCAGTTTGTGGTGGAGAACAGCTCCCAGGGTGTGCCAACTGCCTTCCCCTGCACTCCAGATCAGGAAAGGTACCATTGCTGGAGTACAGACTACTCATTACAGCAGTTCAGCAGCCACTTCTGGAGGAATCCATACTGACAATGCCTTAAGTTTCACCCATTTAGCTTTCAATGGTTTCCAATYAACTTACAAAACACAGCCAGTCACAGTGCCAGAGGACAGTCCATCATACTGAGGATGCGGGCAGATTTGGCTACACCAGGAAGAAATAAAACCTCAAAAGTACTGACAGAATTAAAGACAAAAAATTCYACCTAGTTTAATTTTAAAAATGTTTGAAATAGGAATTGCATAAAAATGCAGCATCTTTTACAGATTCTTCTAAGTGAATGTGGGGAAAAAGTTTTCTGTYAGGAAAAAAACARTCMTCAAACACAGCCATTATCTCAAGCTTCCTSTGAAGAAGACTCCAATATTAGCCAAGACATGATTTCTATTTCTCCACTGKAATTCAACTCCCTGTGAGACTGGACTTCACGGAACAGAAATTCTCATATTAGCAAGCTTTAAAAAGCCATCCACAAACACATCATCCACTACGGACTTAGGAAGGACTACTGGACTAGCACAGCTCACAGAGGACAAAGAGCACAAAAATTCCCAGAACGGATGTGGCTTCTATAGAAACACAAGGCTTTTGTGGACTAACCCCTGACTGAGACCCCTTCAGGGATCCCAGCAGGCAGAGGACAAAGCCCGGCTGGGAGGGGATGAGGGATGGCACCTGCTTGAATTGCTGGTGTCACCAAAGGAAACACGCGTCAACCTGCAGTCCAATCTTCCCACTGTTTGAAAAGCTTTTCCTTTCCTATTTGTTTCCATGCTGAAAACGCAGAAGAAGCAACAGGATCGTGCCCTGAGAGCCTGATTTCCATCCTGCTCCTTCCATCTCCTGTGAGCTGCGTGCATCGTGCACTGAAAGGGCTCAGCAAAGCTAAGCTTGGCTCAGGGCAGCGCTCACAGCCCAGTGACACACGCTCACAGCCCAGTGACACACGGGATGGATCGTAAACCATTCACATTCGGCCTGTTAAGGCACAGTAGGAGCACAACCCAACCTTGAAAACCCTACCGTTAGCGCCTTATCCCCAGGGCTCTGACAAGACATTTCCAAGTCCTCTTCRCATCTTTACTAAGTCAAAGACTTGTCTAAATCCAYGATAAAAAGCTTAGGGCTTGTTTARCCTCCTTGCTAGCCCAAGGTTGAATATATTTCAGTGCAYCTCCATGTTAACATTGCTCTAATTTCAAGCTATCTGGATCATGTCTGGGAGCTAGAAGGGTGCAAGAGCTCATCAACTACTAATCCAATTGTTCTACATATCTCAAGGATTATTTTCCAGTTTGCAAACCTCTGCTACTTGTTGCAATAATAATCCTTTATCTACACTGARATCACCTGGCAGATCAGTTAAGCCTGGCTCTGGCACTGCACAGACCATCAGCAGCTCATCGCTCCAGCAGTTTTCTGCTTCTTCATTTTACAGCCTGCATCAAACTCCACCTGCCAATAAAAACACTACCCAAAAGAGCTTTTTTTTTAAGCTTAAACTGGGTGATTTAAAGCTTGCTCTAGCCTGGCAACACCACACTGCAGTGAAGACACACAGATACACTAAGTTCCTTGTRAAAACAGAGCATTTGGTGTTTATTGAAAAAAAAAAGGTCATCAGCAACAGGAAGCCTATCATTTAGCTGGTACTCAACTCACACCAAGAGTCAGCTACATCAGAGAAATGACAATGTGGAAAAAATTAACCAACCAGGTCTTTACCTTGTCTTAAAACACCGCTGGGGACTTCCCTTCCCTGCCAGAATCTTCCACCGGCTCTGCTGCTGCCACTGGTATCAGCCCGGCCCTCACTCACCTGGTAAGGGGAGCCCCAAAGTGCCTCAAGGGTTGCTCTTCCCAGTGTACAAAATGATAACGACGGCTCCAAAATGAAGGGATGGGAATAAAACGGTAAAGCCTCTGTCTCGTTCGCAGCATTTGGGGAAAAAGGCAAAAGGCACTAATAACAGGAATGTATGATAACGATTGTTAGTCTTTATTCTAGCGAACAAACCTAATGGGAGGCTTGCGACAATCTTTGTTCGGGCATTTTTCTGCACTACTTACATCACTTCTTTATACCCAAAATGTACCTTAAAACAAAAGAAAACCACACAGGATATCGAGCGGGGCTGGCAAGTTAAAAACAGAAAATTGAAATATTTACTGCCTCGACGTGCACTGACAAAGAAAAAAAAAGCAACCAAATACATAATTTTAAAAGGGGGGAGGGAAACCTTTAAAGCGCATCACGAGAACGGGATCAGGGAAGAGCGAGGCTACCCCTTCAGGATCAGAAGAGAATTAACCTGCATTTCTCCATCCCATCTGCAAGCTTACGGCTCTGCCACCCATTTTGTTTCAGATTAAAGGAAAACAAAATAAAGAAAAATAATGACCTCAGCGGCACAGAGAGAAGACCCACCCCGGGGATGGATGCCCGGCTGGTGCTGCTCGCCGGGCAGGTGACCCCGCCGCAGGTGCCACCCCGGGCATGGCCCCGCGCCCCTTCCCCATCCCTGGAGACGATGCCGAGCCGGGAAGACGCCGGCACGGAGCTCAAAGAAGGGTTTATTTAACCCACAAATGCAAGATAAAAGGGAAGGGAAGAGAGGAGCGGACGGGGCGGGTGCCGCACGGCCAAGGTGAACCGCGGCCGGGTGACATGGTGGAGGCTGAGGGGAGCCGCGACCCTCCCGCCCGCGGCAGCAAGAGGMGAGCCGCGGCTGTGCGGGGATGGGGGGCCGGCATGGAGGTGACAGCGGGCAGGAGGCTGAGGAGCGAGCGCCTAGTGGAAAGCACTACAGGGAGGGCGCGGCGAAGAGAACGCTGAGGGGAGAGCTCGGCGGGGAAGCGCCGCGGGGCCGCTCCCTCAGGGCGAGCAGCGGCGGGGGAGGAGGACGGGCTCACCTGCCATGGCGGGCCGAAGGCGGCAATGGCGCTGGGGGCTGCGGCTCCGCTCCCCTCGCTCTCCACGGCCAGTGCGGCGGGGCCGGACGGCCCCGGCAGGCAGAGCACGGGGCGGGACGGGCCCCGCTCCGCCCCCCACAAGATGGCGCGGCCCCACAGCTGCTCCCTCAGGGCTCGGCCGCCATGGCAGCGCCGGCGCTCGGCGGAAGAAACAGTTTCGTGTTCCCTGAGTGAGAAACCTCCAGTTACAGGGACATATTAACGGTTTATCCCGGAAAGACACAAATGGCAGAGTCACGGGATGAGTCAGGTTGAAGAGACTGCAGTGGGGCATCTGGCCCAAGCTYCCTGYTCAGGCAGGRGCATCCCAGAGCACATGGCACAGTATTGTGTCCAGACAGGGCTGGAATATCCCCAGTGAGGGAGATTTCACAGACTGTCTCCAATGGAGCACAGAAGAGGCTCTCCAGGGAGTGGTCCCGGCCCAAGGATGGCAGAGCTCCAGGGGCATTTGGATGATGCTCTGGGGAACACGGTGGGATTGTTGGGATGTCCTGTGCAGGACTGGGAGTTGGATCAATGGGCCTGATGGGTCCCTTCCAACTCAGGAGATTATGTTATTCTATTATTCTGATTATAGGAATCACTGCTTGGTCACCCGCACAGGAAAGTTCTTCCTCACATTCAGGTGAAACTTCCCATGCATCAGATCCTGCCTGTTACCTCTTGTGCTGTTGCTGGGCCCCAGGGAGCAGAACCTGCTCCATCTCTGACACCTCCCTGATATTGATGGGTATTGAGGAGGTCTCCAAATAAAACCCCTCGGACCCCTCATCTGGGGGTCCCTCCCCAGCCCCCAGGAAAATGTGCTCGCCTAATGTCCCAAGTCCTGGCCTTCTTGAGCCTTTGCTTTGGGTTTTCTCTTCGTTTTTGGAGGAATTTTCGTTTTTTTAAAAATTAATTACTTTTAGGAAAAATCTGACTTTTACAATAGGAAAGTGAGCTTAAGGAGCAACAGAAGAGGGAGGCTAAAGAAACTGAGTCCCCCAAAAGATGATATTTCCATCACACATATGCACTTCCCTTTTTCCTCAATCCCACTATTCCTACATTTTTACAGTTTTTACAGTTTTCTGGACACTGATACATATGGTTTATATCAAAGTGACAAGGTGCTTATGAGGCCWATTAATTGAAAACTTTCTATAGCCTTTTTATATGTTAACAATATAATAATGTAATAACATTTTACATATTATTAAAATACAATGTAATTGCTTTCAATATATTATMAATGATAGCTTTTTTATATATTGCTRTAAGTTTTTAATAGTGTATTAGCAACATATAGTGTACCAGCTGCACGTAATCTAATCAGCTGGATTAGGACATAAATACGTGAAATCACCAAGGGGCATAAATCAGAAAAAGTTCTGAAGAAAGTAGACAGGTAGATGCTATAGCAAGGAACAGTAGAGAGCACTAATGAGAACTTGGCAGAGGCACAAGACAGTCAGCAAAAGAATTGAAAATTAAGACTTGGAGAACCAGAAAAAAACCATGAACGTCACCACTACGCATGCCCTGAAGACAAAGGTGAAAAGTCCACCATGATGAAGATGATGGTATTTCATTAGAGGGAGACCCCCACGACCACTGAATTGAGGATGACACATGCACCCTTGTAAAACTGTGATATCGTGTATTTCCGTGCCCGTGTATAGTGGTGGGGCTGTGGTGGGCAGTGATAATGTTCATGTTACACCATGCTTACTGTATAAATATATGCTAATTTGAAGCAAAGGCAGGTGGGTTAGGAGGGGGAATCCCCCTCAYCTCTAGCACTGCAATAAACAAATACCTGCTCTATAGACACTGGTCTATGGAGTTTTATTTCTAGACCTTTTTCGGGCATCAACATAATCAATCCCACCCTGGTAAATGGCACTCTCCTGGTGCCTCCACAGRCAGCTCCCAGCCCTGACCCTCTCAGGGGTTTTGCTTTGCATTTTCCTCTATGGATTTTTTTTTTAATTATTATTTTTTAAGATAAGCCCAAGTTTTACAAGAGAAGAGTGAGTTTAGGGAGGAAAAAAAGAATCACAGAAGCATTTAAGTTGGAAAAGAGCTCCGAGATCAAGTCCAGCCTGTGACCGATCTCAAGCTACCATCTCAATCAGACTGGAGCAGTGAGTGATCCAGTCATTTCTTAAACATCACCAGGGTCGGTAACTCCACCACCCTCCCGGGAAGCCATTCCAATGTCTAATCACCCATTCCAATGTCTAATCACCCTTTTTGTGAAGAAATTCCTCCTGATRTCCAACCTGAACCTCCCCTGTTGTACTAGAGGAGGCTAAACTGAGTCCCCCAAAAGATGTCACCTTCACCACACCCATAAATCTTGTCCAACAATCCCACTTTTCWGGTGGGGGCCAGGCTGAATGTGACACAAACGTGACAAATCCCCCGCCAGACCACAGAGCTGGCACTGCTGACATCTGTAGCTCSAGTACCCAGCGCTGGACGCTGCTTCTCTCACGTGCCTCTCAGCAACATCTGACATTCCTAATGGCTTCTGACAACATTAACTCACCTTAATTTGCGTCCTGTTCTTTCCAGAACGTGCAGTTCTCAGACACATCAGCTCACAGGTCCTTCCCTTGCTCAGGGCTGTTCTGGGCAGTCAGGGCTGAGCCCCCGCAGCTGATTTCCTGCCCTTTCTCCTCACACCCCCACCCTTCTCCCTTACTCCAGGTGTCCTTGAGGAGATACTGACCCACACTGAGTTTTCTCCCCCAGCCCTGTTGTTATTTGATTAAGGTGCMGCACCAAGTCGATGGGAAAGTGCTCCCCAGACCACTGGCACTAATTGGATCCCATTGCACCAGTTTCACCCAGACCTGCAATTCTCTTTTGATCTTTYGGGTCCTTGCTTTAAATGTTGCAGTTTGTGCAGTGTTTGGCAACCAGGAATGTTGAGGGAGTATTTGTGCACCAGCTGTCCAACATCTTTCCTCCCACTTCCCTATAAAGAGGGTTTCATCTGATCCCATTAAAACCCAGGAGCTTACTTTAAGACCAGAGACCCTACGAGGCCTCTGAAGCATTTGTGCTTAGCCTTGGGCATATTTTTTTTTTCCACGTTCACTGCAATATGCTCCTGGTTAAGCTTCTAAAAGGCTTTCCAATGAGACATATGGAGAACTATATAGGGCAGGGCTGAAGCACAATGCTTGATTATGGATATTGATCCCTTGGCATTATTCAATACCTGGCCTTATCCCAAACATAGACATAGACTTAGTGCAGCTTTTAAATGTTAAAAGCCTTTGTTTGTCAGGGTGGGGGAGCATGGAGCTGTAATGGAAGGAACATTTTAGCAATGCCAGATTGATTGAGGCTGCAGCAGTTTTGCTGTTGACAGAAGTTTGTGCAGGAAGACGATTGTGTGTATTCACCTCCCTGCAAGGTCTCCCTCTGGTCAGGATCAGGGACAGAGACAAAGCTCTATTTATTTTATTTTCAAGTGTTACAATTTYCCAACCTGTCCTCCCCCAGTGAAAGATGGCAGAGGGATATACAGGTAATACAGCAAGAGGAGGGAGGAGGGAATGGGGAGGRAAGTTAAAATGCATCAGTCAGATTGAAATGTAACAGATAAAGACCTCAGGGTCATGATAAACCCAAGGACAAGCAGGGAAAGGATGATAAAGTTGGATTTAGTGCTCTGGGAATTGAAATTGACACAGTYAGACCGCCCAGAACCATGGGTTCAAACGCAGTAAAGCCTTTTTCAGCCGTTTGTTCCTCTTAAATAGATAAATTCCCTTCCAGGTGGCTTTCCATGCTGCAAAGTTTGAGAAAATTCCCTGGTATTTTCCTTGTTCAGGGAGCCAGAACCCACCTTATGCCATCATACCATCCTGCTACAGAAGTAGAAATAATTTTACTAGGATTATTGGCATATATAATTTGTGTTATTAAAATGTATKTATCTAAACATTCAATCACTCTGCCTGATTCACAGGTCCATAAAAAAGGGGAAATATTGGAAGAATGTGCAAGTCCTTCATGACAATGCAGCAGGAGAAATTAACAGTCATCAATCATTTGGTGTGCAGACCTTTGAGATGTGAGACACATTCCCTTTGTTTTCTTTTCTATCCTACATCTTGCCTGGATTTCCTCAAAGCTTACTCAGSAATTTACCTGAACAAATGAGGTGTTGCTGCATCCCATTAGTCCCTACAGAAGGCTTATGCCACCCTTCTCACTTCATCCCGTGTAAAATACTTGTCCATTAAAAATATATAATTAAATTCCTCCTGCAATTGTCCTAACTGGCCTAAATTCCTGTAAGACTGGCTTTCTGAGATCCCAGTTCCTCCCTTTCTTTGTACTCATCAAATTGCTTGTATCCTGGAGGATAAATATCCCAGTGTTAACTAATCCCAGRGGAAACGATTAGGGGGTGCCTGGGCACTGGCAACTGTGGGAGCTCTGCCACCCCCATGAGAGCCCTCGAGCAGGGACAGGATTTTGTGAGGAGATCATGCCCATGTGGAGCTAAAAGTCTCCACAAGGAGATTTTGTGGGGCACAATCAAGCCTCCACCTGGGTTATGTCCTTCTCCACAGCCAGGGACACAACACTATCACAACAGTCCAAGGAGCTTTTACTGAGAATGTTCCCCAGCTTTATTTTGATTGTTTTTTCACAGCTCCGTGTGCATCAAATGGGAAGGACAGGACTGCAGGTCAGGGTTTTCCTCAGAAGTWGCATGGACATTACTGGCATAAATTTAAATGCTGAAATGTTTTTGGCCAGTGTCTCTTTCTCAAAATTTCCATTTTAAATCCAAGTGTTGTCTCAGCTGGGATGTGAATCATTGATCTAAGCACAGGATGTCCAAAAGACCAAATCAAAACTTCACATCCAGGGATGGTATCTAGAGAATGTCATCTTTGCCCTTGGCAGGAGGGTGGAATGGGATGGTCTTCAAGGTCCCTTCCAATGGACGCAAAACATCCCATGATTTGGGTCTGGGTTTCATAGCTCATTTCCAGTCTTGTTTTCTTGATGTGTTTTGAGTTTGGTTTTACAACATAAAAAAAAA